CAGGTTTTTTTGTCTGGCACCGGGACCCGCACCTCCAACGAGCCATCCGGCAGGGACTGCTTTGGAAGAAGCTGAGTGCGATGCTGGCAGTGATGATGATGCTGCTCGGCCTTCTGCTTCGGCTTCTGCTTCTCGGGGCAGATCGAGATCCAGGACCAGACGACGCTCTCTCGGAGATCCAGGCGACGCCGGCGACGAGGCGCCTGACGAGGCTCGAGACGCTCTGGACGAGCCCGCCTTAGGCCGAGAGAGGCAGCAGCAGCGGAGGCAGTGCCCAGCCCTCCACGAGGACCTCCAGCCTCCAGCTCCTCCCCCAACGACGGCAGACCTTGAGCTTCCTTCGCTCTCCAGCTATGCTAGGGCGGCCCTTGAGGTTCTTAGCTCCGAGCATCGCGCAGCAAGGAATCCGTCGGCCTCCTCAGACAACCCTCTTGACCGCTTTCTTGCAGCCGCAGGAGGAGGCGTAGAAGAAGCCGACACAGATGGCGAGGATCCTTTTGCCACGGACTTTCGTTCGGACCGAGCTCGCCCTTCCTCGTGGGAGCCTCAGTGATGAGAATCCAGTCTTGACGGAGTCGGTCACGGCCCGCAAACCAGAGACTGACTCGCTTTGTCGGTTGTCTGCAAAATGTCTGGTGCAGCTTTTCCTTGTTCGACTTTGCAGCTGCCGGCTCTGGATATTTCTTTTAAAATCACGACAGGTCTTGGATCTCCCACTACCTGCTGCTTCCTGCCTTCGAGGCTGGATCAGTGTACCGGAGTGGCCTACTACCTGCCATGGGCAGCACAAACCAACTCACCGACCTTTACAGCCGAACATGAATGAAGATACGAGCCGCCTGTGTCCCAAGTCCCAGGCTCGTCGTGGGACCATCGCGAAGGCTTGGCACTGCTGCACTTGGCTGCTTTTCTGGGTCTTGTTCTTTTCGAATATACATGCTGGTCTTGCGGCGAGAGATGCGAGGGTTAGCAATCCACCCACTGGGTTGCTGGGAGCCGTCTCGACAGATTCGGCGAAACATCGTGGAACATCCCGGTCTACAATCAGTGCTGCTTCGCTGCCCACAGCCAGGAAGCAATCCTACAGGCGGGCGGTTCACCGTGCTTTGAAGAACAGCAGCACCACCTATCGGGGTAAGTTTTTCACACCTGTTCTGAGCTTCAAAACCTCGATGTTTCCTTTAGTAAATCTACTGAGCGACGTAAAGCAAGCCCATCGAGCGAGCGCATACGCACCTTGAGCATCAACTTTGATGGCATGACCTCTGCCATCTGAGATTCGTTGGCTTTGTGGATGAGCACGGCACCGTATGATGTGCTTCTTATGCAGGAACTGCACAGGGGCTTCGGCGACTCCACCTCCGAGCGGGAGGCCGCGGGCTGGTTCATCGTTAGCTCTCCTGACCCTCGTACGAGGTTTGCTGGTGTAGCCATCGCAGTTCGCAAGTCCCTGGCGCAAGGCAACATCCTAAGATTCTCTGAAGTAGTTCCTGGTAGACTTCTGCATGTGAGAGTCAGTGGCAAGCACGTCGGCATTGACCTCTTGACTTGCTACCAGCATGTGATCAGCAGCAGGGAAGCGCAAACCAACATAACATAGCTTCCAAGCGCGAACACATATGGACGGCTCTGGGCAGGTGCTTGAGTTCCATGCCGAGACGCAACGTCCTTATTCGTGCGGGCGACTTCAACTGCTCCGCTATGGCACAGGCACGCATCGCAGGTCCTAGCTCGCCTTCTGCTTCCGATCTTTACTTGATCAAAACGAGCTTATGTCGCTGGCGCAGACACACAATCTGTGTTTCCTCAACACGTGGACCAGGCGCCGTGGGTCTTCAATGCAGACCTTTCTCAACGGCTCTCATTCCAGTCAGATTGACTACATCCTGACAAGGTGCTCTCAGGCTGACTCCATAGCCAAACAATCTGGCCCGGTGCCTTCCTTGGACTTTTTTTCTCTTTGGCGATTAGGAGCTTGACATGCGCCAGTGCAGGCCTCAATTCCGCTCAAGCCGGGCTGGCTCGCCACTCGGGTTCGAGTGCCTACACCGGATGCCTATGATAAGGCTGAGCTTGAGGAATCCTTGCACAGAAAGGACCCTCGTGCTCAAACTCTGCTGGTCAGGGCGCAGCAAGCTGTCAGCAACCTCCAGACCTACACAGCAGACAGCCTCAATCAGCTTCTTCTTCAGGAGTGTGTAGCAGTGTTTCCAAGGCGGCCTAAGCAAAGAGACCTTCGACCCTGGCAGCAGGAACCAGTACAACAAGCTGTACGGGCGATGTGGCAGCAACGGCAGGCACTGCGTAGAGTGGGTCATGAGGCTAGGTTGTGCCTGTACTCGGTCAGGCATGTACTCTACGGCTTTAGAGCCTGGGCTCTTTTTCAGCGCAGCTATCGTGAACTTCGCAGGCAGGCAGGGAAAGCAGCATAGGCGTCAGATCTTGCTGAACAAACTGCAGCAGGCCTCCCAGGCGGCTGGACACGAGGACATTAGCGCGCGCTATCAGATCATCAAGCAAATTTCTCCTAAACAGCAGCGAGGAAAAGTACGCATTCGCACTGCGGATGGCGAGCTACTCGGGCCTTTTGCTGAGCACGCTGAGATCTCAGACTACTTTCAGCAGCCCTTTGGCACAGCGCAACCGGACATTATTCCACAAGACAGGTTGCTTCCAGTTCTCTTGGAACAGGCGGAGATCGAATCCTCTATGCAGCAACTAGGCGCTGGTCGGGCTGTTCCCCGTGGTCATGCGCCTTCCTCCGCACGGAAGCACTGTCGCCAGGTCATGAGTGGTCCTCTTCTAGAGGCAGTGCACACTGAGACGGCAGCTGGTTTTCCTAGCTGGTGGGCTGACTGCTCATTAGTCCTAATCCCCAAGCCCAATAAAACTGCTCAAAGGCCAGAGTCCTTACGTCCTTTGGGCATTCAGGATTCAGGATGCTGCTGGTAGGGCGGTTGCTAGGGTTATCAAGGAGAATCAGGAATCGGCCGGAGCAGTATCCTCAATTTGCCTATTTGCAAAATAGATCGACAGCAGATGCTATTCAGCGAGTGACGGAGCATTGCAGATCCATGCGATCCAGCTTGAAAGCGGACCGGTTCACCGTGCATCGGCGCAGACAAGGGAGCCGCCGAGCTCGCTATGTTGGGGGAGCTCAACTAGCCCTAGACATGTGACAAGCTTCCTCGGCAGTCTCTGGCAGACAGCTTAATCTGGGCAGAAGTCGATGCTAACCTTGCCTCGCTTGTTTTGGATGTTCATTTGGCCTGCAGATACCGTGTTGAACATGAGGGATACTGCACTCTTATCGACATGAAGAATGGAGTGAGACAGGGGTGCACCTTAGCCGCCTTAGCCCCTCTTCTATGGGCATTGTTCAGCGTCTACCTGCTCAGCCACATAAAACTTCAACTGGGCACCGATTGGACACGTAACGGCATGACTTTGTTTGCTGATGGTACACATTGTGCTTGGAGCCTAAATTCTCAAGGCGATCTTCGTTTTCTGCAACATAGCATCAATGTGGTCTTTCAGGTTTATCGTCAGCATGGCATGATTATCAACGAGTCCAAATCGGCATTCATGATCCGACTCGGTGGCACACATGGTCCCAAGTGGTTAAAGGAGCACATTCACCTTGTTGATGGTAAGAAGGTTGTTCATCTTAGCCATGGGCTGGTTACTGTGGAGGTTCCTCTGGCTAAGCAGGTCAAGTATTTAGGAATCATTGTCTCTTATCATGACTTTGAGACTGACTCCGTTCGACATTGACTGCAGACAGCCGGCTTAGCACGACAGCGTCTGGCCAAGATCTTGCAAAGCTCCCGCTACCTCACCCTTCAACAGCGCCTGCAAATCTATCAAGTATGCATTCGCTCTACACTGTTGTATTGCGTTTCAGTTTTCAAGCTACCGGACAAAGCTATTGCGGCGCTTCATCGACGGAACATCAAGATGTCACGGCCATAGCCAAGTCACCGGTCCACATCACGCGAGAGTCTACGCAGGATCTATTGTGCCGACTTGACTTTCCTTCCATCGGACAGTGCTTGCAGGCTTATTATAGTAAGTTTAGCATCACGGTCAGCACAGGAGCCCTCGAACCCTACCTATCACCAGGTCGTACTGCAAGTCAGACAATTGTGGAATTGCCTCCTGCTGCTCGTCAATATGCCTGCCCAACTTGTGGTGTCAGTTTTCCGTCTCAGCACATTATGCGTATCCATCACACCCGCAAACACGGTTATTCGCTGCACAAATATGACAAATAGGCTGCTACTTCCTCTAGTTTGACACTTGCTCTGCATATCAAAGATGACATGCCGATTTGTAAGTATTGTACGAAGTCTTTTTGCGGCTGGCCTGAACTCCGATATCATCTGCTGAATGTCTGCGAGGCTGCTCGTGATTCAATAGCACCCGCCGAGAAGGATGAGAAATTGCCTACTATAGTGCATGCCACCCCAGCCAGCCTTGCATCAGAGAAGGGCGAGCATCCTGGAACAGGCGATCTGGGGTCTGCTTGGCAGTCCGCTGCGGGGCCCCAGACGCCACACCTGTCAGACCATTGCCTGCCTCTCTGCCATCGCCGGGATCTGCAGGAAGCCATCCAAGCGCCCAATTGGTATTTAGCCTTTCGGCTGCCAGGGTTGCTTACTCGCCTCAGAAATCATTGCGTGTTTTGTGACAGGTGGCTCTCAGATCGCAGCGGCTCCTTAGAAAATCATCTCAAAGCCCATCACCCAGACGTTTATCGCCGACAAAAGGATGTTCGCTCAATGTGTCGTATCACCAGCATTGCGAGATTTAGCCCTTGCGAAGCTTGCGGTTCTCATTTCTCAGCAAGCACCAAACACCAGTGTACCGTGCTGCAGCATTGGGCTACCTGCGAGTTGCTACGGGCTCTGCCGGCTCCTTCACTTCTCTGAACTTTCGAGTTGACAGAGAGAATGACCCCTCTTCAGGAGCTCCAGTTGGTGTTCAAGGATATTCCACACATGGATGTGGACAGCGGGCCGAAGAGGGGAGCGGGGGAGGACTCCAGCAGTGTAAAGTATCCGAGGCCTTCCTCGAAGGGTCAGGGGCTGGCAAGGGACCAGCCAACAATCCGACGGATGCCCCAGCCGAGAGCGGGGATCCACATGGAACGAGAACAAGGAGATGGAGGAGGTCGACAGTCCTCTGAGACTCATCCTCTTCATGGGCCCTGGAAGCGGATCAGCAGCTTCGGGAGCTTGTGATCCTTAAGGGCCTTGCCACCTTGGAGGAGGGGATTCCGGAGCTACTAAAGTGGGGGTACCAGCGTTGGAATTCCAGGATGCCACGCTGCAGTCTCACGTTGTGGAGACGCTGATTCAGCTGGAGGCCACGATCGCTGCACCCAATGCCCTGGTGCAGTTTCATGTGCCGAAGAAATTGTCGGAGAACCTGGAAGGGGATACCATCACCTTCCTGATGGGGGTAGGTCTTCGGGACCCCATGGCATCCCAAGCATGGGGTATGATGACGAATCTTTGCGGTCTCAGCGGCGGGCGCCTCATCGGCCTCAGGATTCGCCCTGCTCGGACGGACAGGCAGCCGATTGCGAAAGTTCTTGCCGAGAAGTTTCCCCCACAGCCGAAGGGCAAGAACAAGGTGCATGGAACTGATCGAGCCCTTGGTTCCCTACGGCTGGCAACGCATTGCCTCAGCACACAATATGCTCCTTCACAGATACCCTGGAGCCGCCTTCTCCGTAGCTGGCACAATGTTCATGGGCCCATTTTTTCAGCTCTTCGCTGCCGGATGCCTACATTGGTCGTTGGGAGTCTCGCCTCCGTTCGCTGGCTACCCCGTTGCAGCTTGTTCTGGCCGGCGCCTCGCTCAAACACTGTGTCTACAGCTGGCATATGCAAGCCTATATTCATGCTCTCAGTGATCCCCGGAACTCTTGCTGTTACACATTAAGCGTTTTAGGAGCGACGAGAGTACAAGTTTGTGTGTCAAAGACAGCTCTGGGATCTCGATCCAGGCCGGTGCAGTCGTCCGAATGCACTGCTTTTCCAATGCAGCCGATACCTCAACCTACATACAGCAGTATCGAGTGTTGGGGGTTATTTATCATGTTGGGGCAGACCTCAAGGCTGGACACGACAAGGCGGCACGTTTGTGGTTCAGTGCGCAATTTTCGGCAGCATGCTTTTTATGTATGCGATGATGACAGGCCTATCAGCCGAGTAGCTGGTGTTCCCAAAGAACTTCAGGAGGGCTGCTGCATTGTTGGTCTGCAAAAGCTCTAGATTCTTCGTCGGTTTTTTTCAATAGTTCTCTGATGCCTCTCAGGTTCCAAAGCATGATCGAACAGGTTCAGAGTTTCTCGCTTGGTGCTCTGGCACGGGGAAACTCAATATCACTTTTGACTGTGCCAATAGTGCATAGCTGCTATCGCAGAAGTGGGCGTACAGCAGCCGAGCTCTCAGCTTGGTCTTCAGGGACGCAAAGCGTCATACGGACGACGCTGCGATTGAGAGTGAAAGTGAAAGTGAAAGTGAAAGAAGTAGTAGTAGTAGTAGTAG